AGGGGTCCATTTAATTGGCTTAGTGGGATACAAACAAGATACAGTCAGATTCACGAGCTTACCTGAGGGATGACTCCTGACAACAGCTCATGAGGCCACCTGGCATTGGCCTATCTGATGGCTCCGGAAAGCATTCTGTCTTCCTTGTAAGTCTGCAGCCCTGAATGTAGCCGCCTTCCTCGTGCTAAGCATTCAGATCATTTGAAGAAAGTGAGGAGGCCCTAAAAGACTTGTCAAAGGATGACCTGCTTAAGTAGTAATTAACTGTGCCAGAGAGGACTTAAAAATCTGATGCCAGGATGCTGGGCACTCCTGCCCTTTCTATTCATAATCCACATTAAGTTTCTGGGCTGGTATTTTGAATTTATATTAATGTTCCCCAGTAAGATTCTTTTGTTCACACCATCATGAAAATTGGCCTTCACTGAAGAAGAAAATATTAATATGTTAGACCTAGAAGCACAGAGCATGTCTGTATTTAGTAAGTCAATGCCAGTTTCCTTAGCGGTTACCTTCCTGTCTCAATTATGGAGACATTACATTCATCAGTTCTCAAAATTGGCTATGCATCAGAATTATTTGATGCCTTTTAAAACCCCCAGGTATTGCGTGGATTTGGTAGGTATCATATTTGGTAGATTTGCATTTCTGACAAGTTCCCAGATGATGCTGATGATGGTGACCTAGGAAGCACACTTTGAGGACCACTATCCTAAACATTTGGTGATTTCTTCAATGACTTGCAATCGGGTTTTTAGTTTAGAACCCAAATGGGCTGGGTTTAAGAAAGATGTTGGTGTCCAAGAAAGGTAGTAGCTCCATGGATTTTTTTATTATTTTTTATTATTTTAAATATATTTTTATTGATTTCAGAGATGAAGGAAGAGAGACAGATAGATAGAAACATCAATGATGAGAGAGGATCATGGGTCAGCTGCCTCCTGCACACCCCACACTGGGGACCGAGCCCACAACCTGGGCATGTACCCTGACTGAATAGAACCATGACCTCCTGGTTCTTAGGTCAATGCTCAACTACTGAGCCACACTGGTGGGGCTCAATGAGTTTTTTAAAACGATTGCCATGTCTGGGTTTTGTTGGTCTGGGTCTGGCCAGCTATTTGGAGTTGGCTGGTTCCAAAGGCTGGAGTGTGTTTCCATGGTAATATTCTTCCCCGTGCGGAAGGCCCCAGAGGTCGGTTTTTCACAACTGTCCATGTGTTTCTCTCATGGTTTTTCCCAGAGGGTGCTGCATCCGGGGTTCCATGCCATCACTCCTGGTTGGTGTTCCCAGGAAGCTGGGTACAGTAAGGAGGCTCCAGGCCCCCTCTTTACCCAGCCTTGTAAATAAAGTGAGCTTCCTTTGTCAATCCAGGGCCCAGCGTGCTGAGGGCAATGGATTAGATTAAGCTCATTTGGGTACAGAGCAGAAGTGGTTGGAAGGGCATCCCGGCATCCCAAGGCTGTGGGGAAGGTGCTTTCCGCTCCCTTCGTCAGCAGCTCTTGCCCCGTGGAGCTGTGTCTGGATTCTCAGCTAGGGAAGGCACGCCTCCCCTTCAGCATTTAGCATGAAGGTTATTACCTCTCCGGATGCAGGGCATGGCAGAGCTGTCTGTGGCACGTGACTGCCGTGGGATTTCTTTGCTCTCCTGCCAGGGCCTCCTCGAAGGGCACACAGATACCCTGGTGCTCTTCCCTTAGGGTGTCCAGGTGGCCTCCGCTCCGCAAAGGACAGTTCAAGGTGTGGCTCTGCACGTCGTGTGTGGGGAGAATTCTGGTTGCTCTAGGCCCTCTCCTTTCCTGTGTGCATGCCTGCAGGTGAGCTAGACCAACCATAGGATCCAGGTGTGAACATCAGGGGGCATCACAACCAATTTTTAAACAGGGGGCTTTTAAACATGCTCCACTGAAGTGTTTCTCTGGGACAACTTTCTGGTCGCATCGGACCCGGTGCAGTGCTTTTGGTTACTCGTGTCTGCCTAAGAATGGAAGTGGAAGCTAGGACAGGCCTAGGACAGGCGCCGGACAGTGTTTCCCTGTTTAGTCCAGGTTGATTAATGACACCTTGACTTTAGGAAGGCTTATTACAGGTTTGTGGGACAGCCTTAGCCTGTTACTTCGGACCTACATACGACTCTCTCTTTGTGGTGGATACCACCTGGGGGCCCCGTCCCATAGCCTGAGTGGCCCAGAGGGCCCAGAGATAAGAGCAGATTCCTAACCATCACCTGTTCACACTCGGTGGGTCTAAGGGGAAGAGATGGATGTTTGCAATCCTGTATGTGACAAATGCCTGATGTACATCCTCACATAATCCTTGGAACATCCAACTAAGACATTTTAGGCCCATTTCATAGGTGGGGAAACTGAGTTTCAAGAGGTCCAGAAGTGACCTGCGTAAGATCACAACCCGATTAGGGAGCACTTTCCAGCTCACCTTTCTTAAAATACTGTCATCCACAAGATTTCCTTCTTCATTCCTTCCCACCAAAGTGTATCTCCGTTTTCCAGAAGCATCTGTAGCCTAAAACAATAGTATGAGCAGAGAGGCCTGTTCACTTTTAAGCAGCTAAATCCAGTGTTCAGAATAATGACTTTTTATAAACTGAACAAGCCTAGGTAACCACCATCAGATCAAAAAATGGGAACCCAGTTATATTTTAATTCTTAAGATTCTTTTGTTTGTTTTTGCCAATATGAACCCCTGGTTAGAAGTATCTTATAACTGACCTATCATAACATTTGTGCCACCCAACTCTGACACAGCAATATTTGAAGATCCCCAAAATGCTGGGTAGTAACAAGTCAGCTAATGAAAGAGTCTGTCACTGATAAGCCCTGTCTACAAATGGACCAGAACTATGGAGGGGGGCTTGAGAGACACCCAGGAAAGAGAGAACAATAACTGCTGAGAGGGTCTAGGAGCAGATGAATCGTGGAATTTAACAACTCAATCTCATAAGTGGAGCTCAGAGAGGTTGAGATTGCCTCTAATCTCACAACAAGGAAGCAGGACCAGCAAGCCAGCTACCCTCCCGCACTCACCTGCAAGTACACATGCGCGCGCGCGCGCGCGCACACACACACACACACACACACACCCCAGATGCACACTGCTATCTGACAAGTCCCCATTGAAATGGATCCTAACCAGGAAGGAAGCCATTGGCAATACAGTCTGCACAGGACCAGTGATGTCACCGCCCATGGTCACCAAACATTAGCTCTAGGGTTTGGTACCCTACACTTCAAATGCCCAGATGCCCTCCCTCCCCCATTTTGCTCTCAAATGGGTCACTAGCAAAGAGACAACTCTGTTCACCCACCATGGCATGTTGGGAAAGTTGCCAGATAAAACTAAACTCTTGTCTGTGGCCAGAATATGCTGTGAGCAAGGATCCCGATCAGCACACCTCTATTCCCCTCAGACTGCAAAGACCTCGGGACTAAGCCAGCGGTGCCACTTCCCATCCACCTTACCACCGGCGGGTCTGACAACCTCCCAGGCTTGTAATGTGCAGCCCAAGCTAGGAGAGACTTGGCAAATGACATAGCACTGCTTAATGGCAATATTTACCAGCAGCTCCTACGGGCTGGGTTGGTGCTGAGTGCTACACACGGATCTCATTTTTCCCCCTTGTAGCTCCTGGAAGAGGTTCTTCTGTTTTCCCCGTTTTCCAGATATAGAATCGTAAGCTCAGAGAAGCTAAATGACTGCTCAGGGTCACACAACCACTTAAATGATGGGGCCTTATTCACAGTAGGGAAGAGTTGGTCTAAACTACATGGCCTGGCTGCTGCTTGTAACCAATCAGTCAGTCTGCTGTGCGCCCCGGATTGTTCTAGGTGCTGGGGAGACGGCCGTGAGCCAGCAGGTGCAGCCTACACCCTCGCAGAGCTGACGGTTCTGGAGCAGGATCCTCTGGGAAAGAATCATCTTGGAAATTTATGTTTCAGACAAAGACTTCCCCCCCAAATTGTGCCCCAGCTTCCTCTTTATCTTTGAAGCCCCCCTGAGACCTCCAAGCTTTTCCCTTAGGGAGACGATGGCTGAGAGCCAGGTGTGCCTGAGCTTGTGTGTAGCCTTTGCCCTGTGAATAAGAAACTTTCTGAGCCGTCCGCTCCCTTAAAGCACCCGCCCATCCTCACATCCCCCAGCCTCACACCCTGCAGTCTCCCTCTTCCACCCCAGCCCTACTAATGGGGGAGGACAGGTGCTGGCCCAGAAGGTCCTCAACTGAAGGACCCCCATCTCCATCCTGGCACACCTTGTCGGGCGAGCTGACAGCATTCGTGCCAGACTGACAAGCAAGGGCGGCGGGGGGGAGAGTACGGCCACCCTGCTCACACGGCCCTGCCACCTCCACGTGGCCACATGTCTGTTAGTCTCGACACCGCACACAAAGAGCCCGGGTGCTGTCGCTGGCACTCAGCTGCTGGAGTGGGGAGGGTGCGCTTGGTGAAAGCTTTTCTGAAAGGCCAGGGTGGAGGCGGGAGTCACCCAGGTGATCCACGCTGGTCCCCCGGGAACCCAGCCCAGGACCACAGTGAAAGGTTACTGCTAATTGGCGAGCTCCTGATGTGGCTGCATCTATTTAGCACCCCCTCCCCAGAGACTTCCAGGATGCTCTTGGCACAGCGTGCGATTCGAGAGCTCCCGCCTGAGTCTGGCACAATCTGTCTGAAATGGTGAACACGGAGCCTCTTGGTTCTCTAATTTGTATTTTTGTTGTTGTCATTCCCTGCCCATTGTTCCTGGTAGATTTAGTAGCAGCAGCCACCCTGGTTCTGCTACCCTCCCCCCCACCCCACCCCCATCCCTGGGGCCCTCGCAGTGGGCTCCTTCCACCCCTGGCCATCCCCCTCCATCTATCACCAGAGACCTTGCTGGGGTCAGAGAGCAGCGCTGACCTGCCCCCGGCCCGCTGCCCATCCTGAGGGCCCGGCTCTCACCCCGCCATCGTCCCTGACACTAACACAGCTTGTCCACCCTGTCGCAGGGGGCAGATGGCCTGTCGGAGCCGGAGGGCATCTCTCTGAAGCGGGTCGCTGTGGTGGAAGATTTCTTTGACATCATCTACTCAATGCATGTGGAGAGCTCAGCGGAGCCAGGCAAAGCCCCCAAGCACGCTGGGCAGAAGAAAACCTACCGAGCGGTGAGATTTCTGTCCCTCGCCTCTGCCGGCAGCCCCAGGCCTTGGCAGGAGGCCATGGGCTCCGCACATGTTGGGGGGGGGGGGGTGAGAGGGGAGGCGGGGCGGGGAGCTGAGGCGTGATGAAAGGCCTTTGGGGACCCAGGGGGGCACAGGGCAAGGGCATGGCAGCCAGAGATGGCTCACGGGGCAGGGGGCGGGTTCTGTGGTCTGAGCACAAAGGAGAAGCAGGTTGAAGGGAGTGAGAGGGAGGGGAGGAGAGGGCTGGGGGCAGGAGGGAAGCCTTTCTCTCCCCATTTCTGCTTTACACACACACACACACACATACACACACACACACACACACACACACACACACACACACACACCAGCCTTCACAGTCTCCTCTGCTGCTCTGAGGGGCAGGGGTTGTGTGTGGCTAGATTATAATAATCATAAGGGCAAATGCTTCCATGGCATTTACTGTGTACCAGGCCTGTCCTGAGTTCCTGAGTGCTTTCTCTGGGTGAGATTTTTTTTTTGATCCCCTACCACCCTGTGGAGTCAGTATTGAGAGTTCCCCAGGAAAAGTCTGAGGACCTGGCCCCAGCCCCAAGGAAATCAGTTTGATTTGGGGTGGGGAGTTGTGAGAGAAAAACAAAAACAAAACAGAAATGTCTCCAAAACTAGGAGGGAACAAGAGCTTGGTTACCTGGGTATTTAGCAAAGGTACCTGCAGATACTGTGCTAAGCCAGGGGCTTCCTGAAGAAGGTGGATGGGAGCCAGCATTCTGAGCTGTGGGTAGGCAGATGGGAGGAGACAGCTCTATTGCTAAAGGTGGGGAGTGTTACACCTGGGGAGGTGGCAGGGATGATGGGGAGGTGGAAGGGATGATGGCCTGAGCTCAAGCACGAGGGACCTGCCTGTGTTCTGGTTCCATTTCCCTCTTGATGCCCATCACCATGGCTTATGCACAGCTTTGTACCGTTTGTCCAGTGCCCACCACTAAACCAGGAAAGCCAAGCTCTTTACCTTCATTTAAGGCTGACAGCTATCCTGTGATGGGCTGTGGTCCCATTTCAGTCAAGGAAACAGACCCAGAAAGTCAAGCTACTTGTCTCGCGTGGTAGTCAGCCAGTGTCCTCATGCCCCATCTGTGTTGGCTTTCTCATTGTTTTCCTAGAGACCTGCCCCTCTGGCTGCCTCACCCAGGGCAGACCTGACACCCCTCCAACCCCAAGATCTCTGTATAGGTAGCCTTGGACTGCAGTGGAGGTGGCCTGTGTAAGTCTATAATTTTTCCATAAGGCCTGATTTTTTAAAAACCCAACCATCTGCTCTGGCTGGATGGCTCAGCTGGTTGGAGCGCTGTCCTATACACCAAAAGGCTGTGAGTTCGGGGGAGGCAACTGATCTATATTTTTCTCACATCTTTGTTTTTCTCTCTCTCCCTCTTTTTCTCTCTCTCCCTCTTTCTCCCCTCCCTACCTTCCTCCCTGTCTCCCTTCTTCTCTCTAAAATCAATAAAAACATATCTTCTGGTGAGGATTTAAAAAAAAAAAAAAATCAAGCCCTAGCCAATTGTTCAGTGGTTAGAGCATCCGCTTGTGGACTGAAGGATCTCTGGTCTGATTCCCGGTGACAGGCACATACCTCAGTTGCAGGTTCAATCCCTGGCTCCTATTGGGGCGTGAGGGAAAGACAACAAATAGCTATGTCTCTAACACATTGATGTTCCCCTCCACTCTCTGTCTTTCCCTACCTTCCCTCCCCTGTCCCTTCCACTCTCTGAAAATCAAGAAAAAATATCCTTACTTCTCAGGTGAGGATTAAAAAAAAGAAAAGAAAATCCAACCATCTGCTGTGTCCTTGTCCTCAGAAGATGGCCTTTGCCCTAAACGAGTCTTAAGGAGGGACCCTTGTGGCAAGGACCTTAGAGAGATGAGGGTTCAGGCTGAGGGAAGCAGATTATTATACACCTGGCCCGCCTCTCCTGCCATGTGGGAAAGTTGTGGGCAGGGAGTTATGAGGGTATTTCCACCAGAGGATCATGGGCAAAGGGAGGGCCAGCCAGGCTGGGGCCAATGTGGTATCGATGAGACCAGCACATTTGCTCAGCATTAAATTTGCCAGTGCTGGGCTGGTAGCACGTGCCAGGCCTGTGCTCAGCACTGACCATGCACCAGCTCTTGGTGCTGTTTCCCCCATTTTACAGATTAGGAAAATGGAGCCTAGAGAGACATATAATCTGCCTGAGGCCGCCCAGTTGACATGCAGAGCAAAGTAGCTGGCCCCAGAGCCTGCACTCTGAGCACTACCCAGCCTACCTTTCTACAACCCCTGTGGTCAGCTAGTAAGGCCAACTACTTGCTGTTGTCCACGTAGATGGGCTTGAGCCAGCCAGACATGTGATTTCCTTGGTTCCCTTGGTGTCCAGCACCAAGCCTCACCTGCAGCCCCCCCTGGAGATTTAGGAAGGCCAGGGGCTGTGGGCTCCATGCTGTGGAGAGGGCAGAGCCAGGCTGGTATTGGCAGCATTTTCGTCCCTGGGCCAAGCGGCCATCCAGGCTTTGCTCTGCATTTCCTGGCTTCTCGGCCATATGCCCGCCGCGTGCCCCACTTCCCGCTGCCCAGCCTGGAGCTGGCACATGACTGGCGGCGAGCCAGCTGGGCTGCGCACAGAGCTGGAATTTCAGCAGCAGGGCCAACGCTGTGTGGAACAGGCCAGGCCCTCCTGCAGCGGGTGTGAGGCCAAGGAGGCTGCCGCACCTCCCTCCTCCCCGTGCGTCTCCTCTCCCTTCCCCCTCTCCCCCATCTGTCACCCTTCTCCATGCCACCCTTTCCCTTCTGGGGGTGGGGGTGGTGCCTGGATGTTTTTGTCCCCCTCGTTTCATCTGCCATTTCTTCAATCCAAGCCTAACTCTTCAGGCTCACTAGTGCTCACGCCCTGCCCCATCCCGACCTGTGGAAGGGGAGCTCCCAGGAAAGTCGGCGCTGCTGGCTGCAGAGAGGACAGCCTGGCACCACAGGGTTGGTGCCAGGCTCTTGGCTGAGGTGTTTGGGGACCTGTCTCTCTGTGTTTTGCCAAACCCGAATCCTGGGACTGCCTTATCTCCAGGGCAACTGGGACTTCCGGATCCTTACAGGCCTGGGGTGCCCGCGGGAGGTGGGGGGCTGGAGAGGAGATGGGTCAGCTTGTTCAGGGTTTTGAAAGAGACGTATTCTTCAGAGGGGAAAAAGAACTTTCTAGCACCTACCATTGTTCAGCAGTGGATCAGGATCAGATAATGAGCTTTATGAGGCTGGAGGTATATGAGCAAAGAGTAGATAGCCATTTATAATGGTTAAAACAGGGAATTAGGGTAGGAAGCCCGGCCTTACTTTTTGCCTCTGATGCCTTGTGACTTGAGGGTCAGAGGACCCCTAGGCGGTCTTGCCAATGCCGGGGCCTGGGGAGCTTTCCAAGCGGTTCTACCAAGTTCCCTGAACCCACGCTGAGGACTGACTGGTCCCTTCCCAGGGGCTCTCCTGGAGCCTGCACCCATCTGGGTTAGTGTGGACCCATTTGCTTCCTCCCTCGCCCCCAGGGTGCTGGTTGGCTAGGTCAGCTTCCAGAATCCGGGTCTGGATGCCCAGACTACTTTGGAGTTGGGGCCAGGTGTGGTCAGTAGCTACTTCAGGTCCACAACGTGCTAATCCACCTACAGGGCAGAAGGAGGATCTTGTAAAGTGGTGCAAATCCCCCCGATTGGCCTCATCTGTCTTTGTCGTCCTCCGAGTTGGGGAGCGAAAATGGAGCCTTACAAGTCAGCGACTCTGTAAATAGCTTCTGCTCTTCCTGCCAGCAAAATCTCTCTTGGTTTTTATCACTAGGAGAAACTAAGAGGCAAACTCACGTGTAAGTGCCGGGGTCCCTGCAGAAGGCCCCGAGGAGAGCAAGGCAGCAGCCCCCACAGCAGCAGAGGGAAGCTAGGTAGAGACAGGGGTCCCGGAGCTTCTCTTAAACACGGCAGCTCTATCTTTATCTGTTTCATGTTTTGGACCTCGGCGTAAGAGTCTATTTCCAGAACACTGCCGGTAGCTCTAAAACTATCTGAAAACCGCCATCCTACCGACTAGAGCATCTGCTGGGATTGTCCTTCTCGTTTATCTCCACCTGTGATCCTGTGGCCTTGGACGTCTGTGCATCGAACAGAAATGCTGGTTCCATTTCTCACATGCACAAGCCAGGAGGGTGCACCAAAGGATGCCCGCTGGGGGGAGCACCCTCCATGCAGGTCTCTACAGCAGTGCAGAGCTGGGCTGACTCCCCAGGGAGCTCTTAGCAAGGCTACAGACATTCTAGCCATGCAAGACTGGACAGGGCTTCCTCCCTGGTCTTCAGACAGCTCCTAGGACCTCTCACCTATCTGCCTCAGGCCAACCTCTTCTTCCCCCTGTGGAACGCAGGGTCAAAGGGCGATGTACCAGCACCCTTCCTTCATGTGGCACTCAGCCAGCCTTCGCATGCTGCTGAGTCTGTGAGGCCAGGAGAGCTGGGGCCACCATTCTGACCTGTGTCAGAGCCCTCTCTGGGAACCATTCCTATACGCCAACGGACAGCCCTCAGCAGAACAGCCAGGTCAGGAGGCCCTCGCCAAGCCATATAAAAATGGTGTCAGTGGCAGTGAGCTCTGTGTGGAGAAGTAGGGCTGTCCCTACGGTATGAACCTCCCTTCATTTTCCCAGGAGACTGCAAGCCTCCTCCCCAAGTCCTCTGTTCAGCCATTCTGAGGTCCGGCCAGGAATACCATGCCTCGGGGCACCTGCGAGGTCATCTGGTTGGCCCAACTTAGCCATAGCCCTCTGCTTTACTCCTGTAGCCACTAGCCCAATCCTCCCAACGCTGCAGGCCCGAGAGGGATTCTTCCCCTAAGACTCCCCAGCAGCTTTGGGCTGAGATGAAGATGTGCCTGTGGGTGGCAGGGAAGCTCCATCTCTCAGCCCTTACATCTAAGCAGGACTGGTGCATGGCTGACCATCACCTTCCCATCCACCAGCTCCAGTCAGAGACTAGGGTTTTGCCCTTGTCCCTGACCTCCAAAGAAAGGCAATCAGACAGGGAATTTGGAAGGGAGATAACTCATCAAGAAGCCTGCCTGCTCCGCAGAGCATCAAATCAGCTGAGAAATAACAATTGTGTCACCAAAATTAACTCTGCTTTTGCAGCCAGCTGCCAGGCAGGAGTGGTCCCTGGTGCTCCACAGGCTGGCTGAGCTGGGAGCACAACGGAGCTGGTCCTCTCAGGGCCTGACTGCAGCTTGGGGTGCCCTGGACCTCCTATATCCCCACCTCCACCTCATCCATCCACTCCGCCCTACCCTACCCAGCCCCCTGGCCACCACAGAGATGGAGCAGGGGCGTTTGTGCATCCTAAAGGAGCAGCTGGGCCAACTTTCCCAGCTGGGTAGCAGCGAGGACTGTGGAATGCTGGGGCGATGCTGCCCCTTAGTGGAGAAGAGTGGGAGGGCCTGGGCTCTGGGAAATGGGCAAAAACCAGCAACTGGGCAGCTATGGGCCTCAGCCATGAAACCTGGGCCTCAGAAGCCCTTCTGGGCCCCTCAGGCGGCCAAACCAGGGCCAGTAGGTTTCCCAAAACCCAGAGCAAGAAGAGAGGGGTGGACCAAGGAGCCCACTTTCCCCATTCCCCCTCCCAGCTTCTTTCTTGTGTTCTCTCCCATGTGTCCCTCCACCCCCCACCCTCCTTCTCTTCTCCCCAGCTAGGGGAGGCCCTCTGGAGGCAGGTATGGGGTGGTGTGACCTCAAACATGGGCTTTAGTCTGGCATTGCCTGTAAAGAGCTGTGTGGCCTTGGGACAATAGTTCGCCTCTCTGGGCCTCATGACCTAACTTGGAACATGGGGGCACTAAGAGTCTGTCCTGTTTGAAAAATCTGATCCTTTGGCATTAGCCTTTCACAGCTCTCCCTAAAAAGGTTCTGGATCCGTGAGCTGTTGCAGAAAATAGCTTGTAGAACCTTGGGTTCTGTTTACAGGCCCGGAGCCTGTAGATTTATAAACGGGTCTCAGTTTATCCATCTCTAGGAGGGGAAATAGTTTCATTCTACCCTAGAGCGATGTTCATGAGCTCATTTTTCAGTAATGGTAGTGAAATGTTCTGAGAGGAATATTACTAGAATATAGGTTAAAGACTAGATAATGTTTAAATGCTTTGCTTTTTTCATTTTATTCAAATTTGAAAAACAACGTTTTTGCAAAAGTACTGACTCGTTTCCGTGGCTGAGAATCGAGGACACCTGTCCCTTGCTCCTCAAATCCCTGCCCTTCCTGGCAAGGGCCGAGTGCCTGCCACCAAGTGCAAGCACAGCCCTTGCTGACCGGGTGACTAAGCAGCTCCCCTCGGGTCCATATAACAAGCGAACCTCCTCTCTCCCCAGATTGCGGAGACGTACGCCTTCCTTCCACGAGAGGCTGTGACCCGGTTCCTGATGAGCTGCACTGAGTGTCAGAAGAGGATGCACTTTAATTCCAACGGCCTGGAGCCCAAAGGTAGGGGAGGAGGGGGTGTGCGGAGGCTGGCCGGCGGGAGGCTGTGCAGGGAGAGGCTCTCCCCAGAAGGGCCGGCACAGACAGCAGTTATCACAATTCCCAGAGGCTGCTATGGGTCCATGGGGCTGCCCAGAGAGCCTTATTTTATATTTGTTTGTTTGTTTGTTTTGTTAACCCTCACCCAAGGGTATTTTCCCATTGGTTTTTAGAGAGAGTGTGGGGCGGGGAGGAGACAGAGAGAAAGAAACACTGATGTGAGAGAGACACGTCAATTGGTTGCCTCCCGGATAGAGCCTGCCCCTGAGGTACATGCCCTTGACCAGAATTGAACCCAGGGCCCTTCAGTCCGTGGGATGATGCTCTAACCACTGAGCCATGGGCTATTGTGGTTTTTAAAGGCAAGTTTCACTGAAAAACAAATAGTACATCCCTACTGCACTTCTTGGCCCAGGCCACAGTTCTTCTCCCACGAGGCTCCGGATGGAAATGTCCACTCGCCTGCCCCGTTCGCTAAGCTCTGTAATTCTTGCCACCCGGGTCTCACCCTCAGCAGTGTCCCATGGGTTTGGGCTTGCTGACCCGACTGTGAGCTCTGGGAGGACAGGAGCACAGCCCTGCCCTGTAGCCACTTAACTGCCAGGAGTAGACCCACCCTAAGTGTTTGTCTCTCCTTGTGTACAAATCAGAAATCTAGGGGGATTGGTTAGAATTTAAAACACCCAAAGCACTTGTGACCAGCCAATGTTGGTCCCTTAGACCGACATCCATCGTCTCCAGCTCTGCCTACACAGTGAGATGTAGCAAAGACCCCCAGGTTAGTCCCCCACACAGGCCTAACCCGAACATCCCAGAGGCTCCCAGGGAATCTCAGGCCCATCTGTCCACAGGGGGCTCAGGCACAGTGAGATGGGCCAGTACATTTGACGGATGTGGCATAACTTGCCCTGAGATACAGGGCCCACGTGTGGGAGTTATCAGGGCTTCTGGGCTGCTCCTGGGCGTCAGGCCTGCAAAGGTTGCCGCAGCCCATGGCTGTTTTGCCTGGGGAAGGGAACAGACTCAGAATGCGGGGTGAGCAGTTTACTCAGGTGCCACCCTACAAGCCTGGAAAGGGAAAACCAACAACGAAGCCCAAACAGGTGACCACAGAGGACCCGGAGCGCCAGAGTCGAGTAGGGTTTCCCTCATTTTGGTTGTCCCCGAGGCATGAACATCAGGGACAACTTCTGACACCAGCCAGCTCTTCAGGTGCAGAGGCGTTCCTGCCCGAGGGAGGGGGGAGGGGTAGTTGCAGACCACAGCTGCTGCAGCCAGTACGTCAGACAGCTCCCAAAGCTGGAGGGACAGGAACAAATCTAGCTAATCCCTCATAAATGCCGGGCTCCTGGTTTAAGAGCAGCGCCTCCGGGCCACACTGGATGGGTTAAAAGCTCAGCTCTGCAGCTCAGCAGAGGTGTGTCCTGGACAGGTGACTTCGTCTCTCTGAGTCTCAGCTTCCTCCGGTGTAAAATGGGGTTAATCATGGCAGTCGCCTCGGGAGCTGATGAGGATGAGAGTCCATTTCAGTGCCTGGCGCAGGCAGGCCCGGGAGGGGTGGCCTGTGGCTGCTGCCGTTACTGTGATAACCCTGGTGCTGGAGTGAGGCCCTGCCCCACGTGGCCTGGCCCGGCTGACTGGCTGTCACCCCTGGGCCCAGACAGCCCTTGACGCCTGCAGATGGTACTGGAAGGGCTTTCCCTGCTGCACTCCCCACCCCTCCCAGGCCCGCGTCCCAGGGGTGCCCACCCATCCACCTGTCCTCTCCTGTTCTGGCCTAATTGTTTCCATAGCAACTGGAGTAGGCAGACACAGAATCTGTTCGCCTGGGGGAACAGAGGCAAGGCCAAGAGGGGCCTTTTGTGGGCTGCTCCGGTATCTGCAGGCTCCATCTCTGCTGCCCCCTCGCTCTCAGCTGGGGCGGAGAACAGCCTCACCTCCCCCAGTCCTCAGAGAAGGCCGCGAGGTCTCAGGGCTGCCGTTCCACTCATCTGTGGGCTTCCACATGGCTGGGAGGGCGATGCTAGCACAGCAGCAGCCCGTTTTTTTCATAGCTGCCATCACCATGCCTCCACCCCAAGGTAGGAGGAGGGGGAGGCGGGAGGGAGGGAGCCGGGGAGGGAGGGAGCACACAGCCCGGAAGGAGCCGCCTAGAATATAAACCAGCTCTGTGGGCTCCAGGCTGGAGCCGCTCTTTCTAGGGGCTTGCTCCAGGCAGGATCGAGGGCAGACAGAGTGGGGCTGTGCCTGCCTCATCCTTGCTTGTCCTTGGGTGGAACGCCGCTCCTTTGTCCCCGGGAGCCGAGCTTTCCAGCAGACACAGGAGGCAGGGTTCGGGCGCCCATGGAGGGGCGTGAGCTTGGCCTTGCCTCCGTTCCTCCAGGCGAGCAGATTCTGTACCTGACTACTCAGTTGCTGTGGAAGCAATTAAGACGGAGCGGGAGGGCACAGGTGGATGAGGGGGCACCCCCGGGACCCAGGCCCGGGCAGGGTGAGGAGAGCAGGAACTCTGCTTCCTGCTGGGTGCCCCTCAGCAGGGTAGAGGGCCTCTCTGAACCTCGCCCGCTCAGCACAGCTCCCAGGAGCCCATGAGGCATCTGTCCCGGTTCACAGCTGAGGGAAGGAGGCACGGAGGGGTGTCATGGTGAAATCACTTGTCCAAGGTCCCCTGAAGGCAAGATGATTTATCTTCTCTTCAGCACTCTCCTCTTGGGCTATTGTAAGGACTCAGCTGAATTAAACAACCGTGTTCTGTAGGGCGCCTGGTACAGTGGGAGCATCAGCCTGTACCCCGTGTTGTTACACATGGAACCCAGACACAAGACTGCCAGCGTCCAGGTGGTCCCCCCAGGGAGACACCCAATCAGTCACCCCACCCAGGTGGGCACCCTGGGCCCACAACCTGGACGCTGGGCAAAGGGAAAGAAGGGTTTTGTTTCTGGCAGCTGCCAGAGGAGAGTCTTAGGCTCTGAAAAGCTTCCCTGTCTGCTTAACGGCCAGAGGCATTAGCCGCCTGGACCACCCTGACCAGCTGGCACGTTTTTCTTTCTCCTGCCCCAGCTGAGAGCCTGGGATCCTATCTCTGCCCGCCATGCTGGCCTCTCTGGATGCAGTCATACCCCATTCACAGCCGCTCCTGCCAGGCCAGCCCTGCCTCCTCCCTCTCCCACCGGCCCACAGGGAAATCAGAGCCTGCATCTGGCCGCAGAGGCCAGCCCTGTGTTCCTGTCCCAGGAAGGTGGGGCCGGAGGGGGACAGGGAACAGGATGGAGAGTTCTTGAGGGGCTGCTGGGAGAATGCCTCGCTTCCTGCCCGAGTGTTAAAAAGAAAGAAAGGAAGCAGAGCAGCCTTCCCTGCTCAGCAGTTTGTCCCCGGCCGAGCGTGGGGGCCTGGACAGTCCCAGGTCCTCCCCCAGCACCAGAAGCACAAACAAAGGAGGCTGCTGAGGATCAGGAAGTCCGAGGATGGGAAATTCCAGGGCCTCCCGACTCCACGCTCTTCTCCTGCCAGCTCCTGAGCAAGTCCAGGTGGAGAGGAGACAAAAATGAAAACTGGCCTCTGGGGGCACGTTTCTGTTTCCCCTGACGTGACAAAATATTGTTTGTGTGGCTGAGACTAGGAGTTAGCAGTGGGCAATGCCAGGTACCTACAGGAAGGTTCCTTCCTCCGCGACAGAGTCGTCCACGCAGAAGAAGGCTGCTCTGCAAGCAGGCCAGACTCCTCTGTGTGGTTCCCAACGCCGCGGGTCTGGCTCCCCCAGGTGCCCCGCTCCCAGCCCGGTCTTCCCCGGTCTTCGCCTGTGCAGAGGCTCCGGGCCGGCCTGCCCTCCCCGGCTCTCATCCTCACGTGCTGGGGGGCATGGGAGATTGCCTCGCCTCTCCATGTGCCGTTGACTCTCCTGTAAAAGGGGGCATTAATGCCGGTACCCACCACAGGGAGCTCTTGGGAGCATCCAGCAGAAGGGCCTGTGTGGAGCTCCCGGCGAGTGCTCAGTAGCTGTCAGCTGAGTGAACACAAGTCCCGTTCAGACCCTCTCTCCACAGAGCTGCCTTGAGTTCCTTCTCCTCTGAACTCTGATGGACTGGCCAGCAGTCCCACCCTGCTGAGTGCAGGGACTGTACCGACAGGGTTCCCCCACCCTCCCCACCCCAAATGCTCACACATCAGTGCTCCTTGGAGACTTGCTGCTCCACTGACTTACTTCCTTCTCAGAAGTTTTTTTCTTCACCTTCTGAGTTGGCCTCGGGCTTCCATCTCTCTTTCCAAACCCTAGCCCCACGACAGGCTGGCTGGTCTCAGGGCTCCTGTATGCCATGTCCTTCAACACCCGCCCGGCCTGGAACAGCTCTTGCCACCGGCTCCCAGAACCGTTCCTTACGCGAAGCTCATGAGAGCTGCGCCTTGTTCCCCTTCAGGAGAAATGTGCACTGATTAATGGGTGCCATTGAGGCCCGGCTGTGGAGGTCAGCGCTCAGCTCGGCCTGTGTGGCTTGGCCTCGCTGAAACCTCTGCACCGCTGGTTATTTTCAAGGCCTGTACCGCTAGGTCTTGCGCTTGGGCTGGTTTCAATTTTCCTTGGCAAGGAGGTGTTGAAACGTTCCTTTGGGTGGTTCCTCCGCCTCTCTCACCAGCAGCCTGCCGGATTATTTCGGCTCCGTGACCCTTGCTAGCTCCTAACTCACCGGTGGGATCGGATTATCCGCGGTGTCTGGAGCACGGCCACTGTGTGCGTCAGTCACAGCAGGGGCCTGTCCCGTCTCAGCAGAGCCCCGGAAGCCGCTTGTCCTCCTTCATGTGTCCGTCTCAGCTCATCCCCCATCCTGGCATTTATCTCACCTGTGAGCGCCTGACCCCTCCACGGAGCTCCCCCTGGCCCCTGCTCCTTATCTCTTTCCCACTAAGCTGGTCCTCGCTGTGGGGGCATTTATCACCTCCAGAGCCACGGGGCTCCCCACTGTTCTGTGCTGTGGCTGAGCTCTGACCTCCCACAGCCAGCTCCCTGGCGCACTCCCTCACCTGGAATGTCCCCTGCCCGCCAAGGTCCCGCCTCCCCCACAGAGCTCTTGCTTCTGGAACTGCAGACGTGAGCATTTCCCTGCATACTGACCTCTGATGGGTGTGTGTGTGTGTGTGTGTGTGTGTGTGTGTGTTTCCGGATGTCCCAGCTTTTCCAGCCAAGGGCTCCTGCCTCTCCTTTGTGAGCCTTCCAGGCTCAGCTCTGGGCAGCAGAAGCAGTTTCTGGTCTGTGGACATGCCGGAGGGAGCAGGCCAAGGAAGACCCCGTCTTCAGCCTTCCATAGTGCCATCCCAGCTATTGCTTTCTTTGTTCTAACCAAGCTGTGTCTGACTTCATTAAAGAGACCTTCTCATGAGCAGCTGTGGCATTTCAGGATGACCAAACACTGAGTCACCGTGACACAGGGTGCAGCCTGCATTTGCGGCTCTGGCCAGGGACCCTTCTCACACCCCATATTGTCCAACAGCTCTTCACCGGAAACCCCGTCTTTGAGGAAATGAAATGGAAATGGCAGAATTCTCCCTCCTAAGACCCATGATCTGACAACGGGAGCCATGGCTCTTTTGAGTGACACCATCTCAGTGTCGTCGCTGGACTGTCTGCCCCACATACTATATCCCTCCCTCCCCCCGTCACATTTGGGGGGCCAGGCTGTCTGGGTTGACAGTGGGACAGCAAGGAGAAGAGGCTGTGAGGACCCTGGCACACAGTCAGTTCCCCACAGCACCAGTCTGTGTCAAAGGGTCCTGTGCATCCGTGTCAGAGAGCCCTTCCGCCACCAAACCAAGAGGAATTCTCTGGAAAAAAGTTTGATCCGTTCAAGTTTCTGAGACATTCTATGTTAGTGACATTTACCTCTTCCTCGAGAATAAAAGTCCTCATCAAAGAACACAAAAGCGGACCCTAGCCAGTTCTGCTCAATGAGTAGAGCATTGGCCTGCAGACCAAAGGGTCCCGGGTTCAATTCCGGTCAAGGGCACACATCTTGGCTTGCAGGCTCCTCCCTGGCCAGGGCCCTGGTCAGGAATGTCCATGTGCTTCTTTCACATCGACGTTTCTCTCTGTCTTTTCCTCTCTCTTCCACTCTCTCCAAAAGATCAAATGGAAAAATATGCTCAGGTGAGGATTAAAACACACACACACACACACACACACACACACAAAAAAAAAAAATTATGTGTGTGACAACATAGCTTTAAAAAGCTAAACAAAGCTCTTCATTTTTGTAAAATTTGGTAAGAAATGTGATTTAGGCTGTGTGGTCACGCGGCCTCAAAATAGACCCTAGTCTCCAGACCCCGCTGGCGTGGACCCCGTTTTCTGCCGGCCTTTCTGTCCTGGCCAGTGAGGAGCCTCCCTCTCCCCTTCGTGTCCCTCTCTCTTGTTTGCAGAGGCCTTCCTTTCCGTGTTTTGGTAAAATATTTATAATGCAAAGCTAGCCATTTTAATAATTTTAAGTGTACAATTTAGTTCTTTTCACGTGATTGAGCAACTATCACCACTATTTCCAAAACCTTTTCATCACCCCAAACAAACTGTACCCATGAAGCAATAACTTCCCATCCCCACACCCCTTCCTAGTAACCTCAATCCTACTTTCTCTGTGACTGTGTCTGCTCTAGATACTCCATCGACGTGGAACCACACAGTCATTGTCCTTTTGTGTCGGCTTTTCACTCAGCGTAGTGTTTCCAAGCTTACAGGGGCTCTCTGGCCTGGGCTCCGGCACTTAAGCAGCAGGTTTAGCAAATCACCGTGGATATCCTCTGCATTCTGCCACCTGGGCCCTATCCCTTGCTTCCGCTTCACCCCATCTCTTAGTGGCGGCGATGGTGGAGGGCAGGCTTCGGCCAGTCCCAGTGTTGTTCGTACACTCAAGTCCCAAGTCGTGAACAGAACTAGGCCCCAGGGAGAACTTTGGCCTGGAGTTCTGGAGGCAGGAGCTGGAGGCCAGAGAACAGGTGACCAAAACTGTTACCTCAGGGAGAGGATAAAAGCAGGGTCACTAAATAAGATGGGTCCCAGCAGGTGGCTCCAGGACTTCAAGCTTGGTCATAGCAAAAACATCCATAGAGGGACTTGGGCTGGGGAGAAGTGATGGGCTCTCTTTTAATCTTGCTTCCTGTCTTCCTTGACTTATTCCGGTGCCATTTTCATCTGCCCCTTGTGCCACCCACAGGGCTACCTAAGGTGCAGAACGGGGCCGTGTCCATTGACTGGATCGCCCCTGGCAGCAGCCTTTGAAGAAGGCAGCTTGGCCAGAGATTTTAAGTTACCGAATATTCCTGCCCTTCAACCCATGAGTTCCATTTCTTGGAATTTGATTTTAAAAGAAAATGATCAGAAATGTGGGACAATATGTTTCTCCCAACATTGTTTATAATTGTCAACAATAGGAAACAACATAGTCATTCATCAGGGAATCACTTAAATAAACTATGGTAAAATAGTACACAGCTATAAAAATTACATTTGTAAAGCAAAGCAAGATTTTGTTTGTTTGTTTGTTTGTTTTTGTTAATCCTCATCCAAGGATATTTTTCCATTGATTTTTAGGGAGAGTGGAAGAGAGAGGGAAAGACAGAGAGAATCATCAATGTGAGAGAAACAGATCAATTGGTTGCCTCCTGCACATACCCCAACCAGGGGCTGGGCCGGGGAGGAGCCTGCAACCAAGGTATGTGCCCTCGACTGGAATCAAACCCATTGGTCCGCAGGCTCTATCCACTGTGCCAAACCGGACAGGGCCAAAACAAGACTTCTGGTCGTGAAGGAAATGCCTATGACACAATGTTAAACACACACACACAAAATTTTTAAAGCAAACTATAATATTCTGTGTGCATTCTGATATCAAGGGCATGAAGAAGAGAGATCAGGGGGGGGGCGCGATGGTGGAATAAACAGAAGCATATGCCAAGCTGCTTAATGCAATTATGGGTTTTTTCCTTTTTTCTTCACATCTTTCCACACTTTGCAAATGCTCTACAAAAAAGAACACACATTACTTTGATCTTTAGGACAACAAAGCAATAAATGGGAGGAACAATGTTCCATGTGATAAAGGAGGAGCCAGAATTTTGGGGGTGGAGGCCCAGAGCTGTGAGCCATATGGTACCTGGCGGGGCTGTGGGGATGCCGTGCGGGTAGGAGATGGGTGGGGTGGCGGCAGCATGTGTGCACCACGAACAAGAGAGCAGCTTAGCTCGAGGTTGGAAACATCAGTGCCTTCAGGGGCCTGGCCAACATCATAACTGAGTGAAAGCGTACAGAACACTAGGGAGCGGTGGGGACTGTGGCAAAACGGAGAGCTCACCCCCTGTAAAAGCAGTGGCTGCTGCACAGCTGCAGTGGTGGTTCCTCGAGTGGGGATACGGGCCCAGGGTGTCCAGACCTTCCGTTTTTCAAAGCCAACTATCCCCGCGTTTTAGAATGTGAGCTCTCCCATTAAACACTGGCACCTCACTGAAAAAATATTTCCAGTGGCACGCAGTCCACAGCACTGGTGGAGGAGCTGCCATCTGTGGCCTCGGGCTGTTCCTTCCTTCTCCGTGTGGGTGACAGGGTGAGCTGCCCCGGTGGCCCGCCGCTCAGACTGAAAGGAGTTCCCTTTGTTCTTCCTGCCAGAAAACGAGCCTCCCTCTCCTCTGGTCTCCGGGATCATTGACTACAACATGCCCCTCACCTCCACGTACCTGAAGCAGATGAAGTTGCGCGTGATGAATTCCCAGGAGCAGGTAAGCCTTCCGTCCGTCGTCTCCCCTCACCCCACCTGGAAGCGTCCTGACTTGCCGGGATGTGGCTGATCCTTCCCAAGATGTGGGGCCACAGCCTGTGTAAACACACTGGAAATCAAAGAGGCCCTTATCTGGTTATCTGGGCCGAGAGGGGAGGGAAGGAATGTGTTCCTAGTTAAAGGGTCTGCTGGGCAGACGGCCCTGCCGGGTCTTCAGTGAAACCCAGGGAGCTCACGCTTCACAAAACTCTCCCCAAGGGCAGGCAGGGAGGGGAGGCGGTGAGCTGCAGACCTTGGCTCTGGGGTGGTTCTGTCTCTGCTCTGCCCTTTGTCTGCGACTCCTTTCCCCAGGGAGACGGAGGAGGAGGGGCCCTGCCTGCCAGCCTGTGGCCTCTGTCACTCTTGGGGCCCAGACAGGCCAGGAGGATGGGCCCTGGCTGGTGGCCCGAGTAAGATAAGGCCCCTGGCTGTCCAAGACTCCCCAGCTGTGGATTGCCAAGGGCTGTCAGGCACCGTGGAAACAGGCTATTAAAAGAAAACCACTCTTGCCTCTCTCCCCACACAGTGCACCTTCTAGCCCTTTGCAAAGCAAGTAGCCGGTCTTTCAAAGGGGATGGGGGGGGGGGGGGGTTGGGCAAGTGCGTGCCACCTCCTCCCTCCATCGCTGCCTAAAACCGGGGTCTCTCACCTCCAGCTTCAAGGGTTCTCATCTGTTGTGACCTCTGAGCTCACTCTGTCTTTGTGGCCTGACCAGGGGAATGGGTTCTTTCATGGAAAGTCTGACTTCTAGCCCTGGTGCATGCTGCCTCACTTGCTGCTGGTCTCCTTGACAACCTGAGCATGTGCTGTCACGGGAGCCAAGGGGACCAGGGGGTGATAGCTCCAAGGTGAGGGAGCAGGATGCGTCCCGGTAACACGGGGGCCTGTGGCACCCAGGTTGAGGATTTGAGCTGGTTGGCTTGAATATCAAGTCTGCACTCCCCTAAGGAGGAAGGATGGTGTGCCACCACGATCAGCCCCTAAAGATTGAATGAAGTATACGCTTCGCTCTGGGGGGTAGAGCTGTTTGTGTCTCTGTGTCTGCAGCGTTTTCTTTCCTGAGAGTGTCTGTTCTGTGACGGTTGCATCCCTAAGAAATGTCAAGCAATCAAAGATAACGTCCATGGGGAGAGTGGTACCTGGGTGTCATACTCACAGAAACAGCTGTGCGTGGCGCCAGCACCAGCCTGTGGCCTCTGTCACTCTGTGGCCACCGCCAGGGCCAGTCATCGTCAGCATGGCCCACCCGTGATCCCTCGTTAACGGATCCTGTTGTACTTCATTTGGTAACACAGAGTCCTACCATCTGGGGGGGATTAAGACTGTTGGCTAGATATATTAGCCAGGATTTGGGCCTTCAACAAGTATTTATAGAGCCCATCTCTGTTGCTAGTTCTTCTGATCTAGGGGGAGGCAGACGCTAATGATAAAGTCACACACAGTACCCAGCTCATAGCAGGCAGCCATAAACAGTGGGGGGAGAGATTAGTCAGCCATCATGGTGCAGCTGTAACAAGTGTCCTGCAGTGGGGCCCAGGGTGCTCTGAGTACTTAGTGTGTATGTAGGGGAGGGAGGGGCAGGGTCTGGGAAGGTTTGCCTCAGAAAGTGACGTTTGAGCTGAGATCAAGACCTGAGGGGAGCAGAGCTCTAGGCCTCGGCTTGTGCAAGGACCCTGTGGCTCGTGGAACGATAGCACAGTGAGAACGTGAGGGCTGCTGTGGCTGGTGCAGAACCTGTGAGGACTTTTACTGCTCAACAAAGGAGAAAGCACAGTGCTCGGCACTTGGTGGAGATCTGCGAATGAACTGAAGCTCCCGAAGTGAGATGGACAAGCTGTCCCGGTGAGGTTCTGGCTACTCCCAAAGGAAGGGAGGATTGTGGGAAGGCATGTGTCCCAGGGCGCCCTGAGGATCCAGCTGGGCTGAGGCTGAGGCTGAGGCTGCGGTGGCCTCTGCTTACAGTGGCGCTGACTGTGTCTTCCCGGCCTGCATTCTTAGCTTCCCAGATGAGCCCCTCTGGAAGCAGTTAGCTCTCCTGTGTGCTGCCCGAGATCAAAGGGGCAGACCCTCCCCGCACACCTGGCGGAGAAGCAGCATCCTGCCTCGTGCCCAGGGCCTTTCATCTGTCAGTCTCCAGCCCTCCACGCACAGCAGTGAGCTCTCCAGGCCTCAGCCTCTCTGGCAGCGCCGTTATCCCTCTCTTACAGCCAGGCACATGGCAAAACAAAAAATCACATTGCTCACCAGGTTATTTATCTATGGCAGCAAGGAAGGGCCACGGACCCAGAAGGCTTTGAGTTTTTAGCTTGTAAAAATACATGTATGTGAACTGATAGCTTCTTTCCTATAGCAGAGTCAGAACAGGGCTCCTGTGGGGGGGAGGGGAGGGTGGATGGCCCCCTGTTCAAACGCAGCCAGGGGGCTGGCTCTGCTCTGTCAAAGCTCACTTCTCAAGACCAGCCTCCAAAAGCAGTTTCATTCCTTGCCCATCACTCTGAGCAGGACATGCAGAGACACCTGGAGAGTTTGCAAATCAGTCACACAAGCTACATGGAAAATAAACCAAATCTAAGCCAGGATGAATGATATTTTATTAATGCCGAACAAAGCTCTATATCTGAAAACGCTGGTGAAAAAAATCCCAATAATTCATCTTTCCCCATCCAAGAGACAAACAGTGAGGCAGACGAGGACAGGTGGTGGGGTTAACTTGTGAAATGGACAGAATCACATTGCTTGTTTTCCGGTCGATGAATGTGCTGGGAGATGGGTTCTTCTCCACGAAGGTGTTCGATAAAGTGAAAATCGAGTACAGTAATATCCACACACAGGAAAATATTCTTCTTGAGTTCTGATTCAATGTGGCAGAAATTTATCGTCCCCTCAGTATGCAAGGCGTGCGGGGGTCAGCCTTGACCCTCGCAGGACTTCCGTCCTAAGACACGGACCCCAGGAGCTGCCACTGAAGTGGCCACGTTGAGCTGAAAATAAGAGAGTGTAGCCTGAGAAAAATCTCTCTCTCTCTTTTTCATTTTTGTTCTTACTGGGGGAAACTCTCATAAAGATATAAAGCTGAAGTTCACAGTCAGTTGTACTGATGAGGAGTGCATTTCTTATAGGGGGCAGGATGCGAAGGGTTCTGTGAATGTAGACCTATTGTGCGCACTCTCTGATAAGAGCAGGGTCCAGGGAGGGATGCAGGCAGCACTCACAGGGCAGGGCCACCAGCACGCGCCATCCCCAGCAGCTGGTCTTTCAAAGCCCGTTCAGGGCTGGGGCAGGAGGCACCAGGAGTGCGGGCCCTTCCTCATGCTGCCACTGGTTTTGTTTTCTATCTCATTCGGGTTTCTTTCACACTTTCAAAAAAAGTAATTACACAGGTGATACGCGGCTTTAGGAGAAAAATCAGAAGCCAAACCAGCAAAAAGCACGGTGATAAAAATCACTATCATCCCACACTCAGATCACTGGATACCTTGGTACCCACCCTTCAAGACTGTTGAACAGAAAGGGGATCATGCGATACGCACCATTTTTACAATCTGCTTTTTTTTCCCTCTGTTGCTTATTTTTCATATTATTATATTTGAAGTCTCTTTGCCCTTCGGGCCTTGATGTTTCCACTTGTCAAATAAGCTGGTTATATAATTTTGCTGTCATTCACTTCTTCACCCATATCCACTCATCTATCCATCCATCCATCCATTGTGCACCTGAGCCAGGTGCCAAGGAGACAGTGGTGAATAGAGCCATGTCTCTGCCCTGCCTGCTCTCACAGTTCAATGCGAGAGACAAGGAGAAACAAATAAGCTTAGAGCCCTGACCTGTTTGGCTCAGTGGATAGAGCGTCAGCCTGCGGACTCAAGGGTCCCAGGTTCAATTCCGGTCAAGGGCATGTACCTTGGTTGTGGGCACATCCCCAGTAGGGGGTGTGCAGGAAGCAGCTGATGGATGTTTCTCTCTCATTGATGTTTCTAACTCTCCCTTTCTCTCTGTAAAAAAAAAAAAAATCAATAAAATATATTTTAAAAGAAAGAAAGAAAGCTTAGAGGAGGAACAGGAAAGCTTAGAGGAGGAACAGAAAAGCTTAGAGGAGGAACAGACCAGAAACAAGGGAGCAAGCAGGGTGGGTGCTGTTTCAGGCAGGTGGACATTAGTGGGGCACCTGTTCTGTGTACTGTACTCTACACACTTTGCCCTTCACCCTCACAATTCGTCAGGGTCATGTTATTATCCTCATCTTACAGACGTCTTAGCTGAGGCTCCAAAAGGGTCAGCACTTGCTCAAGGTCACACAACCACTGATGTGAGCGGGAACTCAGATCTTTCCCGTCCCTGAACCTGTGCACCTGCCTGGGCCCCAAGCCCTGCTCCTCTCTCCACCTCCTAGGCGAGGGTGCTCTTTAGGATGAGGATTGCCCGTGGCGCTGGCGGAGGGAGGAAGTCCTTGGCAGAGATGCCAGCAGGCAGTCTTTGTTTGCCCTGGGAACGGGGACCACCTTAAATATATGAGGCCTAAGGAAATACGCGAAGAGGAATTGGCCAGGGGCCAGGGTTGGGGTGGGGTGGTCTTCCGTACCTTGTGAAGGCTCCGTTATCTGCAGAGGCACTCCTGTAATCTGATACCCACATTATGGGTGACTTTATTCTGATTGTTCCTGAGATCCCAGTGTTTGAACCCGCTGTGGAAATCAGACCTAGATCCGGAAGGAGAGAGACAAATGATCAGTGCCTTCCCGGACACACGCTTTCGTTTTATAGAAGTGGAGGCTGAGACCCACCACACACACACACACACACACACACACACACACACACACACACACACTCTTGCTCTGTCCAGAGTGGGAGGGCTGTCAGCCCCTTCCTCCGCCTCCCCTCTCTCCCCTGTTCTCGGAGCAGCGCTAATGTCCCGCTAATGGTTTTAATGGTCCTCCCAGCCGCGTGTGAAGTGGTGCACGG